AGCAGTTGGCTATGGTATACAATACTTCTGATATAAATGAAGCATATGAAGGTTTTCATAATACTTTTTTATATCACTTCAATAAAAGTTTTCCTCGGCGGAAATTTTATAAGAAAAGTCGTAAGTGGTGGGTAAATGACGCTGTAAGAACATCTAGTGTTAAACTGAAAGACTTGCATATTTTGAGAGCTTTGTATCCCGAGTTGAACCCCTTTTATAAAATCGCAAGAAAAGCACATGCTGAATTAGTTGGTAGAACAAAAAAGGAATTCTATCAAAGTAAAATTGTAAATTCTGATAACCCAACCCGTACCGCTTGGAGAGTAATCTCAGAACTGTCCAATAAGTCTAACATTGTAAAAAATATAAGTATAAAATTAGATAATGGAAAATTGTGTACCGATCCACTGTCTGTAGCTTCAATTTCCAATGATTATTTTATAGATGCTCCCCTTAAGTTGATTGAGAATATTCCATTGGCTAATAATAATTACCCCATTCTTAGCCAAAATCAAGTGTACCCTTCTTTTTTTATTCAACCGTATTCGTCTGACGAGTTGTTGATTTTATTAGGAAATGAATTAAAAAATAAAAATTCATCGCGACCGGTTTTCATCATAAAAAAAGTTCTGACAGCTATTGTAAAACCTCTTTGTTATTTAATTAATTTGTCCTTTCAGACTGGGTCATTTCCAGACTATCTGAAAATTGAGAAGGTTGTACCTGTTTTTAAAAAACACGATTGTCAAAATGTGGAAAATTATAGGCCAGTGTCTGTCCCTTCGTGTTTTTCCAAAATATTCGAATATTGTTTTCACGATAGATTAGTAAAATTTCTCAACAAATATGATATTGTTACAGATAAACAACATGGGTTCTGTGCGGGTAAATCAACCACAACCGCTTTACACTCGTTTTGTGAAAGGGTTATTGAGCTTATGGAGGCAGGCGAGTGCCCTGTTGGGATTTTCTGTGATCTCAGCAGGGCATTCGACTGTGTATTACAAAAGCTGGATGGCTATGGTATACGGGGGGTGGCCTATGAATGGATTTCTTCATTTCTCAAAAATAGAACACAATATGTAAGCATTTCTTGTTCCTCAGTTGGTACCGTTCAAAGAATAAATTCAGGATACAGGGAAGTGGGTATGGGTGTGCCACAGGGCTCGATATTGGGACCTGTATTATTTGTGTTGTACACGAGTGAACTTGATACTTAATCTCCGCTGCATTCCCAGTTATGTATGCTGACGATACGTCGCTAATTGTATCTGATAAAACTGATGATGCACTGGCACTCAAATGCAACTCGGTCCTAAATAAAGTTAGCAATTAGTGTGGCTCTCACTCATTATATTTTAATCCCTCAAAAACATCTTATATTAGATTTCATAATTATCAGAAAGAATGTTCTAAACTAAATGTTCAGGTATACAATTCTCCATTGTCTGATACTATAACAACCGTCAATTTTCTAGGTTTCACATTGGACGAGTGCCTAAATTGGAAGAAGCACTGCACCAGCCTAATAGCAAAATTAAATTCTCTATGTTACTTGTTTAAAAACTTGAAATCAGTTCTGACAAAGCATCAGCTTATGAATTTGTATCACGCTCAAGTTGACTCCCGCTTGAGATACGGTGTATATTTTTGGGGCGATACTACCCTATCACCTGGTGTATTTATTGCCCAAAAACGGGTATTGAGATGTATTGCGGGTATTCCAAGTTATCACACGTGCAAAGCTTTGTTTAGGGAATTTGGTGTGATAACTCTTACAGGATTATTAATTTTTGCACTGTGCATATATATTTTTAAAAATCGAGCAACATTCAAAATGAATAGGGACATTCACTCAATTAATACGCGTCAAAATGGTGACTTCCGGATGCCCCTATATAAATTTAATATATCACGAAATTCTCCTATCTTATTTTGAAGCTTTTCAATCATCTGCCAGAAGAAATAAAGCGAATCCAGTTTTTTAAAAGTTTTAAATGTAAATTAAAGTTATTTTTAGTGAACAGGTGTATTTATTCTGTAGATGAATTCTGTCGCCTTAGGTTAAGTAATATTGACTATTCCTATATATGTGTACACATGTCTTAAAGGAAAATTTATTATTATTATTATTATTATTATTATTATCATTATCATTATCATTATCATTATCATTATTATTATTATTATTATTAACTACTATTCGTAGATAGTAGGCAGTAGTAAAGAATAGACGTCATAATTTTTTTTAATCTTGTCCATTGAAAATATACTTGATACTTTTTTAAACGTAATAGTAATGTTTCATTTAAGTATGTCCTACCTATAAACAAAATTTAATGAATCAGCATATTTCAAATGAATGGTATTTTTCATTCAATTACATATATCGATATTTCGACAATTACGTTACCTTTTACCACAACAATAGTTTTTTTTACTTAGCGAAAAATTTTCGGATTTTCCAAATGTTGCACAGCCTCAAATAAAGCATCTAGTCTAGATACTTGAAATTTTTTCACATAGAAAAGACCGCTCAACCTTTCAAATGGTTCACAGTAAATTTTTAAAGTTATACTCTTTTTTTATTTTTAAACAATTAGATTACATTTATCAATTTTCAATTTAGTTTTTTCAAAAATTATAATTTTAAAGTAAGTACTCGGAAAGACGCTTCTTTTTTTTTTTAAAAAAAAAGTTTAAATTCCGTTTATTGGTTCTCGAGATACCTATAAGCGGTCAATGTTCGGCATTTACCGTTAATTTATAAACAATTGAGCAATAATCTTTAATCCAGTGGCTTCGTTTTTCCGAGTTCTAAGCTGGAAAAAATGTTCATATCCATAAGTTATGGGCAACATAGATAATTCATCGGAAAAGCTGTAGCTCGTACTCGCGAAAAGTGACTCAAAACACGAAAAGTGGGGGAGGGGTTTTCGCTCCGAGACTGAATACGGAGGTTCAAAATGCGAAGGTACGAAAAAAATTGCATTATCTCGGCTTCTAATGGACCAATTTCGATCTTTTTTTTATCCGATGTTTTGCGAACCAAGGAATTCGAATATCGTAATGCCAACTGTCTAATTTGCAAATTTTTGTTATGCACAAAGTTTATTATTTATGCATTAAATATAAGTACTGTATATTTTACCCTAAGCTATTGCATTTTTTCAATGAAAAAATTTGTTTACGTATGTATTTCAACACTGAATATTTAGTTAATAATAATAATTATTACAACTATTTAAATAATTTTTTTTTAAACAAATTATTTTTTTTTGTATTTGGAAATTAATTTTTTGTTAAATACAGAAAAAATTAAGAAAAAATTGTACTTTAAAAATATAATTTTTGATAAAAACTAAATTGCCAATTGATAAATATAATCTAATTGTTTAAAAATTAAAAAAGGGTGTTAACTTTAAAAATTTACTGTGGCCGTCCTAATCAACCGATTTCAATTTCAAAAATCATTTGAAAGGTCTTTTCTATGGGAAAAAATTTTCAAGTATCTGGATGCTTTATTTGAGGCTGTGCAACATTTTGAAAATCCGAAATTTTTTTTTCAAAATTTTTTTCAAAGAATTATTTTGCGAAAACTATCGAACCGATTTTAATGAAATTTGGTGTGTTCTTTTATTATATCCTAAAGTTTTTTTTGCCAAAATTAAAATGCCCTTGGCGCAATTAAAATATTTTTAAAAAATTATCAAAAAAACTTGATTATTTTGCCTTTTTTCATCAATTATTGCTATTTTGCAACATCGGTAATAAATTTAAACATTTTTAACTTACAGTATATTGTGCAAAATTCAATTCTAAAACTTTTTTCATCTTCAATATTCTTCCAAAATGTATACCTAGGTTCGAAGATATAAGTCAAAAACTCTGACAAAATACGTATTTTTTTAAATTTTTTAAACACTTTTGCAATTTTGAAAATGTTCCGGACCTCGCCCAGATCTAGGGATCTACACTTTTATTATTTGCTTGCCCCCTCTCACATCCATCTCAAAACAGATCCGCCCTGGTCACTCCACGTATATCAGAGAGACATTAATTTTTGGAGCAGACATTTGTATATATAATTTTTTTACTTTCACTTTGTGCATCACTATCTTAGTTGTATTTGGATATATTTTTTTACAGAAAATTTTAACTGTTCACGTTGAATAACCGTTAAATAATACACTTTCCAAGAAACACCTGCCAAACTGTAACGCAATCTAGAAGACACCTATTAATTCTATTACGTAATAAGCTATCAAAGTAATAGACATTGCATCAGGGCTTCGTTCCTCCCATTAATTATTTTTTCTAAATTTTAGAGACGCGTGATAATGGAAGCAAACTTATTTACATATTAGGTATAAAATACGAATGATGCCATATATATTTATTCATGGTTTCATGGATAATACATGTATGTTCTTCACGTATTTAATTTCTGGTACCTGTTTACAAATTTGTATTTTCTTAATCGCTTATTCGGCCAAAATAAATTTGCAGTTCCTTTAGAAAATAAATTTTTATATGCTATTTTAATCATTTCCTGGACTTTAATATAAATCATTTTCATCGGACATTTAATATGTGAAATAGAGAAATCATTAAGATAATGCCTTTGAAATTAAAGTACCAAATACATATTAATAAGAAAAAAATGCGCAACTTTTCTCCGAGCTTTTCTCTAATACCTCTAAAGGTCTATATGTAGTCTATGCTGTGGTCTGTGTGCGTAATACTTATGATAAGATTACATTAAAATTTATTTATTTAGTATCATGCCTATATTTTAGTGTGTTGTAATTTTTATATCAGTAATTTGAAAATATTTAACATATTTTTTAATGAATTGTTATTTGTTATTCCATTAAATATTAGATGTAAAGATAACTCTTTGGCTTTCTTATACAAAAAAAATTGATTAAATACTAAGTAAAATGATATTATACCCATAAGTTTTAAATTTTTAAAAACAATATAGCTAATTAAAACAATGAGTTAAGTTTTATTTTTATTTAATTTCAGTAACCAATAAATTCACAATTCAATTTTCAAGAAACAGGTACCTTTACAATATGTATATAATTATAAAAACAAACCGTAATTACCATAATCAGCAGTATATTTGTTTACAATTCACTGTTCTCAAATTATTGAGAATGTTTCTACTTGCAGTTTAATAATATTTTATAAAATTAATGATAACTATATATAAATGTGTATCAATAAATAAAAACATGACATAATTTAAATTAGCTCTATTTGTATAACAAGTTATTAAAAATAATAAACTTTTATATATAAAAAATAATTTAAACTTGTACAAATGTGATTTCATAAGCATTTTTGCCATTATATCTTTACTCACCGTTTGGATATAATACTTTTAATTATTTTAAAAAAATTATAAAATTTCTTATTGAGTGAATAAGTATATATCATTCTATCGTCAACAAAAAACTTAATGTAACATATAAACTAATGACTAGTTTTACTGATAGAAAACCGCTTCATCTTATATTTGACATCACAAAACAAACTATAAGCATGTTGCTTTCTAAAAATTATTTTTTTGGTTGGTATTTTTCTACTGGCAATAAAGTAAATATACTGCCAAAGGTGGTGTAATATATTGATAAAATTTATCTACAATTTGGAAAGCACATAAATTACTGTTACGATGAACATAATTTAGATCGCTTGGAATAATCAATAGGTATTGTCAGAAAATATTTGTAATACCTATGCAGTTAGTCAACGTAAAAGTAGAAAATTTATTTCTGTATTTGCTACTATTTATGTATCCGTTAAAAGAAAATGGCATAAAAGCCTTAAATATAAAAAATGCCCAATTGCCAATAATACCAATTATTTAATAATTTTTACAAAAAAATATATATAATCAGGATTCTAAGCAACAGAATGTGGATAACGTAACTGACATACATTAGTGTATTTGAAATTTCTGAAGTTTTGTTTAGTCTCATATCTCAAAATTGGTCTTGCTGATTACAAAGGTAGTAATACAACATGTAGATAACAGGTAATAGATTTGGTAATACCTGACATTTAAATAGCAAATACCTACTTAAACAGTAGATGAATAATAGATTATTAAATTTGCAGCAGTTACTTTGAAAAAACAGACTGAACCGAATTTAATTTTAATAAAATTTTGACGACTCTATTAAGTAATAAAATTTTTACATTGGCATTGTTTTGTGACATCGTTTGGAATAATATCTCTACCCACATTGGGAAAACATTATTTTCCAACCAAACCCAAATAATTAAGTTGAACTTTTAAGTTTCATTTTACAAAATATGGAAGTAAAAATGGTGAGGTAATTCCTCCACACAAACACCAAATTTAGCAAAAATAACACTTTTTTCGGAATGTCTCTTAAACATCTAATGTAAAAAATTAGTGAACTTTAGATTTCAACAAGGGATAGTCTGCAGTAACAGGTGGGCTTCTCGTTTTGGATCTCCTCTCCCCAGACATGTAGGCCTTGTAGAAGAATCTAGCGAACAATACAAAGTAGCTAAAGTACATGGCAATAGACAACTTTATGTTGAACGGAGTTATGTGGCACTCTGCCTGGTTTTGTAAAAGTTGTCTCGCCCATAAGTTTACAGCACAGCCAATGATCATTTGTAACAACTGTAAAGAAGTTATAAGCATAGCGATCTGCCTAGGGGGGTTATATCTCATAGCCCTTAAAGCGTAATACGAATACATCACAGAATGGACGCAATAGTTCATAACGATGAACCATCTGGCACTAGCTGTATATTCGGTGTAGCTGAACCAAGAGTACAACAAAACGGTGATGTGGTGGTACCAGTGGAGGAAGATCAGGGGTTGTTTCCTAAGCACTATAAAAATGGTATCACCCAATTCTGGAAGTTTACTCAATACAAACATCCACGTCCAGAAACCAGAAACTTTGTCCTGTTCAATGAAAGAAGGAATACATACTGAGTGGTACAGTCCGTGGTGGGTAAGAGTGTGCAGAAACTCGGGTACCGTTCTACATGCCCCCATTATACTAAACGTGGCTAACAGTGTGTTCCACAAAACTAGCACACCCCTGAGCTCGAATTTAGGTCGGCCCTGCATAAGGTACTGACCGCCAAAGATGAGCACCATGTAAATACCAACATAGTAGAATCCTAAGGTCCAATTGTCCTGCATCCACGTGCGGGTCTCTTGGTGAATGAAATCAGACTCGAAATTGAAAATGTACGAATAGTTTGGCAGCGTTACTTGTGTGTATTCCTTCATGGTGCACTCTCACTTTACGGGCGAAGATTTCAGAAGCGACCGGCACCTTGGCACTTTCCGGAATATTAGGAACCGTAAATTTCTGTTAGCCGTTTTTATAACTAAATACCCGATACCCAGCCGGACTGACACCGCACCACACCGTCGTACGCCCTATCTAACTGCCATTTGCGCGCCTGCGTCCTTCTTCGACGTTTACAGTGTTTGTAGGAAATAGGAATACCCGCTCATGCTCATCATTCTATGCTCTTTTCGCCTATAACCATGGGCTATGTGCGTTTCAGTCCCACACACAGACAGAGAAATGATGAAATGAAATAATCCCACTAATTAAGAAGGCTAGTACATACAATCCACACCAGACGAACGGATATTTAAAAAAGCTCTGGAATGATTCGATTAGATCATATTCAACGATGTTTGGCTTTTATGAAATAATAGCTATTTTTGAATTATATTTACGCGGAAAACAAAACAGAATAAAATATAGCGCGAAAATTAAAATATGTATAGGGGGTATTGTTATAAATAGATGCCAGATCTGTAAAGATTATCTATGAAAGAATTTCAATTATTATTCAGTTATCTACAACATAAATATCACAGTTAAAACACATTATTATTTTACTTATACTTAAAAAAAAATGATTAACTATACCTACTTTCATTACATTTTTTAAAATGTAGTCACCTCAGAAGAACTTGAAATTTTTCATTTATTCATAATTATATGTTTATTTTTAACTACATTTTACTACTGTAATGGAAATCGATAGATACCTAATATCCTGTTAAAATGAGGATTGTTTTGTTTACTATACAAGTACATATTAGCACATTTCCTTCCACCACGTTTCACAATTGGCAGCTGATTTATTTCCTGTTTATGATTTGTATACCAAGGAATCCCAACAAATTAAGAAATTTTGCCTTGATTTGAAATCAGCGCAGCTTATTGGTTGAATTTAAAGTTCCGCCATAAATTTTCAAGTTCAACCAAACAGCTGCTCTGGTAAATCTGACAATCATGGACAAAAGAATTCGTCTTTGGTTACCATCTGCTAGATGGCACTTTAAATAGTGTCGCGGTCAGAAACCTTTTGATTTGTACAGGGTGGGACAAATTCGAAACTTCTAGGTTTTCTGCGTTTCCCTAAAAATTTACAGAAAAGTCACGAACTCGATTTTCGAGAAATGCTGAGTGGCGAAAACGGCATCTCGATATCTTGATTCATTTAAGAAATATAAAGCGATTTTTAATGTTGGTGGTTTTCTACAGAGCCTTCAGAACCACATCACTAGTAATTATATTTCACTTATGTTGGTAATTAAATTCTATTCAACCAATCAGCGATCACATTATCCCGACCGGGGGTGTCATGGTTCATTAACGAATCATTAACAATAGTGACGTCAAGATTTAGGGATTTTTCATTACCAGTGCCAGCACTGCAATGTTGGTTGCAGAGCTGGCTGGGCGGTCACGTGGCTTGTAAATATTTATGACTATTTTTTAATATATTATATTTGACTTTTGTAGATTTTTTTAAAAGTTTTTCATATAGTGTGTGTGGTGTTGCGTAAAATGACATTTACATTAAAATTTTTTCCATAGAACAACCATAAAAAATTATTATTATTTTTTAATCACCCGTTTAGTAACAAAATTAGCTGTACACATAATAATTTTTAGTGTAGTGACAGTGACAAAAATTGTTTGTAGAAATATGTAAGTAATACAGTTGAAAGAAAATTTTACACAGATTTAGAGTAATGAAAAATAATGTTCTGTTTAAAAAAAATATGTTATAAAATAATATTGCATTCCTCAGTGGATTTTACGCAAAAAACTGTGCAAAAATAATTTCCTGTATGTATAAAAACATTATAGAAGACATCACAGAAAATGACTAAATTAGGAAAAACGCCCTGTATCTATTAAATGAATCAGATATCGCTGTGGTTTTTGCCTCAAAAATCGAGATCACATCTAAACATTTTTTTTGCTATTTTGGGAAATAGGAGTTATCCCCCAAAAGTGTCAAATTTGGGCCACCCCATATACAGGGTGTTCCATCTAAGAGGGATTCTTTTGTAAAAAAATGGTTTTAATAAAAATTGTCTGGAATCATGTAGGCCATGTAAAGAAAATATTTTTAGCTTTACTGGGTGTTCAGTTCAGCGTGAGCGCTACATAACTTTGTTATTTTAAATGGACACCCTGTATATTATTGCATTTTATAATTCCTTGGTTAATATTAGGTAAAGTTTATTAAATGTACATGGTGTTTAAAACTTACCATTTTTCGAAATAATCAGTTGATTTTGAAAAAAATCACGATTTTAGCTCTCTAAATGAGACTAGATAGTGTCTAAACCGTAAGAGTTAGAAATCTGCAGTTTTCACAGTTCGGCTTGGCATAAATTACTCTATCTTGTCATCTGTGAGCAAAACGTGTACGTTATTCAGACTCGGAAATACTACTACTTTTTCGGACTTTAGAAAAGAACCTGATTTTTCTGGAAAACTGTTCGAGATAAGTATGGACAACCTTATAACAGTTGAAAGGGCATTCAATTTTGCATTCACTCACGACAATTAATATGGGCCATTCCATTTGAAAAAAAAAGTTTTTCAACTCATAAGATTATTAAAAGTAGGTCTCGGTATTTCCGAGTTTGAATAACGTACAAGTTTTGCTCACAGCTGACAAGATGCCAAAACGAACTGTGAAAACTGCAGGTTTCTAAATTCTAACTCTTACGGTTTAAATTCTATCTAGCCTCATTTAGAGAGTTAAAATCGTAATTTTTTTCAAAATCAACTGATTATCTCGAAAACGGTAAGTTTTAAACACCATGTACATTTAATAAACTCTACCTAATATTAACCAAGGAATTCAAAAACGCAATATTTCCATTTAAAATAACAAATGTAGCGCCCACGCGAAATGGAACACTGATAACTTAATTTAGAGCAAAATTGAATAAACATTTTAAAAATGAGTTGTTGAATTGTCCTTCGATTTTATTTGCTGACGTATTATCCTTTCTAGGAAAATTAAATACGACTTATTTTTTCAAATAATTGCATTATTTATATATTTTTAATATTCATAATTAGTATTGTACTGCAGTAAACAGTGTCTGTGTTATTAATTGACTTTTATAAGAGTTCATAAAGGAAGCAAAAACTATTTTTTTTTTCATATACATAAATTTCATGTCAGTAAAAAAAATTTGCTGCAATAGAAATAAAAAAATATCTGTACTGGTGAATTTTGACCCTCATGTCATTAAGATTAATTTTTTGTTAATTTAAAAAGAAAACATAATTAAAGCAATAATTATGGTTATTAAAAAGTAATTACGTTACTAATATAAGCAAGCAGAAAATAGTGTAAAATCATAATGGTTGGGCCACATTTAAACGAAAGTTTACATTTCCTTAAAAAATTTATTTTCAGAGACAAGAATTGAAATACAACAATAAAATAAATAAGACATTTGTTAAAAGACTAAAAAACAAGACTTATTTAAGACATAAGATATCAGGTAGCAAAAATATGGCATAACCCAAAATATCTTTCAAATCTTTGAATAGTGTATATTGTTATATTAGGATTAAAAGTGTTAATTTTGTGGCGAGCAAATTTTGCAAGATTGCGAGACAAAAAAGACACTTTTAATCTGAATAAAGCGTGCTATTTTTTCTCCAATTTGTGCTTTGACTTAACACTTTTAATCTAAGGATTAAAAGTGTCAACTTTAGCTCCTATGATTAAAAGTGAATACTTTTGTTGCTAAGATACCATTTTTTTTCTCAGTAAGGAAAACATCAACCTTAGAGACTTCCGACAATAAAAAAATGTCATAGTTTTGTAACGGTTGGCGAAAAATAATTTTTTTTACTCTCTAGCCAACTGCAGTTTGTCTAATGAATTATTGTCCCCTATGTCCAACAATAGAAATGTCCAGAAATGATTAATGAATAGGATTAACTAAAAAAAATACTAGTATAGGTCGATTCCATCTCAAATCATGCAGAGGTCCATGTGGACCTGTCACCAAGCTACTCCAGTTCTAGGTCAGAAATAAGAGGACCCCTCAAATTTTTTTTGGAGGTTCTTAGTACCAATACCTTCAAATCTATCTTTATGAAATTTGCGGTTTTTGCTTTTTATCGCATAAAACTTAAAAAAAAAAACTACAATTCACAGGAGTCAAGGGACCCGGCGGAGACGTTCAAACCCCTGTTGGAATCCATATACCAAGCAGGCCGCGGTCAGGGTTGCCAGGTCTACTGATTTTTCAGTAGATCTACTGATTTGAACTTTGATCTACTGATCTACTGAAAACTCTGTAATGATAAAACCATTTACATAGATAAAAAATCTTCCTGAGTTGTAGAAGAAAAATCAACATCATTATTATACGACTAAACTCGCCATGCATAAATTTCCGAACGCATTATTTAAATGCATAGCTCTATAAATTTCGAACGTGCCCGATTTTATAGTAATATAATATAGTAATTATATTTGTCACTAATCGAGTAATCACTCGAGATACGAAATATTGGTCATTTTCATCCCAGACTACTTGCAGTATATAGCAGCATTTAGGTGCGCAGTCGCAGGGTAATAATCACTCGGGTGGTGGGAGTAAACATCTTGAGATATCTCGAGTGATCTCAACAATCGAGTACCAATCAATTTTTTACTCGAGACCTTCCATATCTAATTTTCAGGTTAGATGAGATGTCAGTGTCAATGTGAGAGTCAGATGTAGAATAATTTTGTATATTCAATTTAATTAAATATGAGGTTTTATTTTGTTATAACTAGTTCGTTTTAGAATACAGTATAATCTCACTAATCCGGCACCATTAAAAACCTAAGAGTGCCGGAGTATTGGAAAATTCGGATTAATGGAAAATGTATGTAAACAGTATTATATTAAAAAATGTTACTTTTAATTGTTTATTAACAAAGAGATTGGTACCTACATAGATACATACATATTACAGTTGTATATGCAAATATATGTATATTGTAATGTTTTTATGTTTCTGTAAAATAATCTTTGAACTAAACTATTACTGTATAAACTGTATTCTTCAAGGATAGTAGATAAACGCGGAAAAAATGACGCCGGATTACTGGACGTGCCGGTGTAGTGAAGTGTCGGATTATAGAGATTCTACTGTATGTTTTTATTAAATCAATATGTTTTGTTTTGTTATGTATTTTGTACTGTGAAATTGCTTTTTCACCGCAGCACTTAGGCCTTATTAGGCCCCTTGTAGAGTCCCCTTCATTACTCGAGTACTTTTCTTCAAACCATCCTATTACTACACGGGTGGCTTGATGCCAAAGTCTCGTACAATTTTTTTTTTTAATGTATGATGGCATGGTCTTGAGTTACAGAGATTTGTTGTTCTATTCTCATTACCATTTTATCGGGGACCACACGCTGGCGGAAGGTGTTGAGCGACCAAGGTCTCTTGTAGGCTGCCACAGCCGCGTCCCCGAGCCTGTCTTAGGTCACCCATCCAAGTTCCAGCCTGCGTCCGTGATGCTTACCTCGGCCGATCGAACTCCATCGGCCAAGACACCCGGCTAGGAGGTCTCCGTTATGTATTTTATTTGTACCTGTTTTGTTTGTTTTCTTTATTTCTAAGATAAACATCTTTTTCAGCAATATAGGTGGTTTTATTTAGTCAAATATCCCGTTATCCAATTATTTTTCTATAATTTGCATGGTATTTTAATTTAAATTTTGAATCTCGCGTCGGAGTTAGGTTAGAGTATTACAGATGTTTCCGTTGTCAAAAAGTCAAAGTTTTTAAAAGAGTTTTCTGTGGTTTCTAAAATTATTTTATCATGTTTATAAATTCAAAGCTATTTTTTTAATTTGTCTACCAACTACGAAAATATAGTTTAATAACCAATCGAGGTGTCTTTTCGCCTAGTGCTACTATAATATAAAATAAGTCTACCGATTTCTACTGAATCTTTTAATGCATCTCTACTGAAGGAAAGAAAATTGAACTGGCAACCCGGCTCACCTAATCATTAACACTCGATCCAAGCAACTTCGCGCTTATTCCGATAATGACTAAGAATTTGATCAGCAGCATTAGCATTATTCGATCCATGTGACCTAGTTTTACCAAAAGAAATTCAAGTCATAATTGAATAGAAATGAATGTTTTATTTTATTCACGTTATTGTAGTTTTTTTTATTTTTAAGTTTTATGCGATAAAAAGCAAAAACTGCAAATTTCAGAAAGATAGATTTGAAAGTATTGGTATTAAGAATCTCCAAAAAAAATTTGAGTGCAAAAAATATGACCTTCTTGAGAAAAACAAATTTTTTTCGAAGATGCACTTTTTTGAAAAAATGCATTTTCTGTCGAACAATGCATTTATTTACATTTTTTTGAAAAGGTAGACTTGAAGGGCTCCATTCCCTCTATCAGGTAAAATAAGAATTATTTTATGTTGTCAAGAAATAAAAATAATAAGCAATCAAAATGCAATCGGAACATTTTTTTTAAATTCTTCTTTTCAGCGATGCATTTTCCGAGTACATAATAGACGGAACTATGCGTCTGAGAGGAAAAAGAAAAAATTGTGGTCCTCTTATTTTTGATCTAGAACAATAAAAAAATATTTTGGAGTAGCTCTGCATGATCTAAGATGGAATCGGCCTATAATGATTTTCTGAGGTAATATCTTTGTGTCTTTACAACAAGCTAATCTTGGGGAAACAGCAATAGAAGAAAAATAATATTTTCCTGGATTGTACATGAACCACAACTCTAAACTGTACAACAATAAAAACTAGTGTATCTAGAAAACCAAAATAAACTTGAGTTTACATTTATTTCACTTTAATATTTCATTTCTACATTCAGAAATGAAATTTATTCAATGTAGTACCAGTTTTTAATAATTATTACCTTTAAATTTCAAACAAATTGCCCAGAGGGCCCCAAGACATTTGGATTATCCCTTACTTTTGACTCACCTTGTAGGTACTCCGTTACCCGCCACAAAACAATCAATCACGGCATGGACTTCTTAATTTTCTTCAGTCGTTTCGATCTGGCCTCTATACTGCTCAAAATGTTATTAAAGTTCTGGAAAGAAAAAAGTGCACTGTCACACTTGATAAGCAAGTGGTATTATACTTACGAAATCATCACTATCATCGCTCGAGTCATCTCTATCACCATCATTTTCGTCGTCTGTAAATTATAACAATTATTATCATTCTGATTTTTGCTTTGGGAAACTCAAAATGAAAAAAATCTGCAATTTATTAGCTTTATGGGTCAGTTTTTTCCCACGATCGTGTCCTATTTTCTTAGTAAATTTTTGAGGAAAAAGTAATTCTCTCTAAAATTTCCTTCGTTCTCAAACTACTAAAAATATTAATGTTTTCTAGTGGAAGACGACAGAAATTAATTTGTGAAAAAAAAAATTAAAATAGGGGTTGGTGACTGAGATCTAGAAAAGAGCTGCTCGTATTTATACAGAGTATACAGTGAGCAGCAAAAGTATGGAATATATTTATTTAAAAATCAGATGTTCGTTATTTGAAAAATCGCTCGGACCAGTCGAATTATATTTTTAGTTGCGCATTTTCTGAAGCAATTTTCATTTATACAGGGTAGCCCAAAAGAAAGTTATGAAATCAAGGCCAACTTTTTTAAATGGAGACCCCACTTTTTTGTATTTTTATTCAATTCTCCATGGAATTCTGATCATTTTTTATGTAACATAACCTATAAAGATAGATATCTTTAACCGTTTTCGAGATAATGGCATCTAAATATAAAATAAGGAAAATTTTCAAAAACTACCCTGAGATTTACCCTGCTGGTTTTAAAATAAAACCACGTTTACTTTTCCATCTTAGATTTGTGTGGTTCACAGAAAGTTGCCTCAAATCAGAAAAATCCATAAGAAATAAGTGGTTCGGTGATTTATTTTGATCGTTAGGACGTAATGACTTGAATGTAAAAAATATAAGTGAGGTATTTAGGTATAATTTAATTAAAAACGCATAATTTTATTGTATAAAATATGATTTTGTTAAATGTCACTATTTAAATTACGAGCCAGGTTATTTTGCAAATTTTTAACACCGTTTCATGTTTTTTTTGTAAAGAACAAAAAAATTTTAAAAACTCCAGAAAAACACGCATTGTAGCCGTCGTCAAGCAACTAAATATTAAATAGGTAACGTCAAAGTCAGTTGAAACCTTGTTCACTACTACTATTTTTTATTATTTAGGACAGTGCAATTACTTAACTAGATGGCGCATCTAACAGAAACGCAGCGGATAGAAATTCTAATTTATTTGGGACACGGTGACCAAGCAAGAACACAACAAGAAGTGTGTGATATATTCAATAACAAGTATTCAGATCATCCAATCAATCAAGTGCTTAAATATTTGAAAAACACAAAATGTATTTAGCAGAAAGTACACCAGTTCCCACTGACTTTGACGTTATAGTCCTTACCTATTGAGAGTAATTTTTGAAAATTTTCCATATTCTATATTCAGACGCCATTATCTCAAAAACGGTTAAAGATAGGTATAGGTTATGTTATGTTCCATAAAAAAATGATCAGAATTCCATGGAAAATTGAATAAAAATACAAAAAAGTGGGGTTTTCATTAAAAAAAGTTGACCTTGATTCCATAATTTTTTTTGGGCCACCCTGTATAAATGAAAATTGTTTCAGAAAATGCGCAACTAAAAATATAATTCGACAGGTCTGAGCGATTTTTCAAATAACAAACATCTGATTTTTAAATAAATATATTCCATACTTTTGCTGCTCACTGTATGTATATTTTTTTTCATAATCAACTGGTAGATAAAAGCAGGAATTTTTTCACAAAATTATAATTTTTTGTAGTTATACCTATTTAAATTTGAATTTGATAACTTTCCATTTTGAGAAAAAAAGATGATTCTTGCTTACGAAAAAAAATTTTGACCAGCTGCCTCTGATATTATCTTAACTACATATACAGGGTGTTTTAGTGATCATAAGCCAGGGATTCCAATCACTTGAAATATTTAAAAATATTACTAAGATTATTATTAGAAATCAAGGTTGTAAATATGAACTTTTGTTGCTTTAAAAAAAAAAAAAATTCATTTCATATCATTTAAGTAACTTAAACATATGTACTTATAATCCTCGTAATTACATCAAAAACTACACAACAAATGTTTAATAAAAATTTGGAGATCATAAAATATTACTGCATTTTTCTGTTCCGTTATTGGACTATAGACACACTGTAAATTGAAGAATACCATTTGTATAACTTGATAAGGGATCAATAAAGTACAGACTGGTCCATTTTCGGTGGGATTTCAGGGTATCTCAGAAACTACTAAAGATATGAGAGATCTGACACAACGTTCTCCAGCTCGATTTTTACGGCAAACTCGACTGTCAAATCAGAAATTTGATATCTTCATTTGTTTTTGAGTTACAGGGCGACTCGTTATTGTGACACTTTTGAACATGTCTGTATCTCAGCTTTTAAATAAGGTAGAGTTAAAATGAAAACTGCTCAAGACTAATTCTTTGGCGTAGAATTGAATGTCGGTATTAGATTTTTAGTAGGTCTTAAGATTCCGGAGTTATGACCCAATGTTATATTTTTTTAAATGGAAATAGTAGCTGGTCACGACCTAAAAAATTGGAGATTTTTTTTTGCTTTTCAGCAATCTATACAAATGCTATAGTTATTTTTACAAACACAGGAGATACAGGGTGTTTTATATATTAAATTACCAGCTTTATTTTTACAAATTTTCACAATTACCCCTTTAGTGAACGATGACGCATCTAATTTTTTTACTAGAAAACTATCGGTTTTATCAAAAAATTACAAGAGGTAAAAAAGTTGCGCAATAAATCAGTCTTCCCAATAAATATTTTTAAATAAATAATTTGCTTCATATAAAAAATTTCTAATAAAATATTGCAATGGGGTTCTGTTTCACTCCATTATAAAATACGCCAATGATCGAAAAAATATTGAAAAGTTGTCTTTATTATATAGTAGGATGCCCATACCAAGTTTCGTGTCTCTAGCATTCCTCATGTTAAAGAAAAAAATTAAAATGTGAATTTCAATCCTCTCCTTTAAGAGGGTATATCGCCTCAGGGGTGCAACTTTCATATAAGGTATTTTTACTTCAATCCTTATATTTTTGGCTCTACATTCACTGGTACCATTTTTTCTACTTCATTTAAAAACACCCTGTATATAAAATTTGAAATAAGAAATATTATTGAAAGGTTTGTGAACAAAATATTCTTTGTTGTTTTTCTGTTCTTTTTACAAAAGCCACAAAACTCTCAGAAAATCAGATTCAATAGCACTACACGTAAACCTCACATGTTGACAGAATTAAATGTGTTTCAAATGTACTGTAAAATTAGTAAAAAGCTGAGATAATTTAAATCAAAAACTGTGAAATTTAAATAAAAATCAGCAAATTTCGCTTGCGTCCATGAGAACCTGCCTTGTAGTCCAAGCATTCTGTCACGGCCTAATGTTAAATTTGCAGAAATTATTACCAGGACAAAAAAAATATGACCGTATAGGAAATTAAATTTTAAATTCAGTTTCTTGTGCTATAAACTCGATCGAAAATGGCGAACATGGTTAAAAAAAAAGTTGCAAAAAACGGTATTTCTAAAGTAACTAAAAAATATAGCATCTATTGAAAAATTTTAAATAAGAAAGTTGTAGGTTTTAATAAGATCTACCGACTGATTTTTTGTATCGATTGCTTTGTTACTTTTCGAGATATATCGAAAAAAACTGTTAAAAATCTTCTCTTTTCTCTTCTTCTATAACTCATTTACATTTAGGTTCCCATACTTACTATTTACTGCAAGCATAGCCTGCGGCAAGCCAAAAAAGTACATTTTTGAAATATTTGAAAATATTAATTATTTTTCGATATATCAATTTTTTGAAAAAAGGCGCTCTCGAAAATTGACTAGATCTTCTCAGCGGATAGCCCTACAGTAACGATTTTTGGTTTATTTTCTTCGTAAAGAGTTATATTATCATGCTGTTAAAAAATGTTGACGATTTTATTAATTTTAAGGATCAAAAAATGACTGAAAGACTGAAGAAGATGCTTTTTTGTTTTTTTCGAAAAAACTATTTCAATTTTTATTTTATGAAAATGACTTTTAAAGAAAGAAACTGCTGACATTTTTTCACGATTTAAAAAAAATCTGTTTTTCTACGACCTTCTGGAGCCAAGATAATTTTTTATTTCAAAAAATTAAAAATAAAATTAACATTTTACAGTGATGCGCTTGATGGAGTAATGTTAAATACTTAGGTATATTTTCAAAAAAAAAGGATATGCTTAATTGATTTTTAGTATTAGTAATTGAGTAATAAACTGAAGCGTGCAAGCGTCAGTTGGACTGGGCGGAGAAGTAGGGGGAAGAGGTGCGCTGATGACGTGCAGTCTAAATGGCTCGCTCTTACAAAATCTTTGATATCTCGGCTTCTGGACCATGTTTTTAAAATTCTTTTGTACTCTATCTGAGGTAGCTTGACGAGATAAACACGAATATTATAGTCATTTTTGCCTTAGCAGCAAAATAGTCCCTAACAAGCGGATTCATGAAAGAGGCGTAAGGCGTTAGTCGAACTAAGGAATTTTGCGCCCGTGTAAACCTATTCACAAAAAAATGCGCTATCCTTGCACTAATAGTGACGCCAAAATTTAGACCCACATACATAACATGCATAAAAATTATGCAACTTAAGTTGCAGTTTATTAAGTTTATTGCATTTTATTTTTTTTATAAGTAATCCCAGTGCTTAATAATAATTTAATTATAAGACAAGATTTTTATGCATGTTATGTAGGTTTAAATTTTGGCGTAACTATTAGTGCAAGGATAGCGCATTTTTTTGCGGATAGGTTTACACGGGCGCAAAATTCCTTAGTCCGACTAACGCCTTACTCCTCTTTCATGAATCCAGTTGTAAATGTTTAGTTTTTGTTTAATTCACGTTTTTGTCATTTTAATAATTATATAAAAGTATTACAGTATTTTTCGTGTAATACCTTAATTTCTTTGCTTCATTCAAATAAAAAAATTATCTCGGCTCCAGAAGGTCGAAGAAAAACATTTTTTTTTAAATTCGTGAAAAAATGTCAGCAGTTTCTTTCTTTAAAAGTCATTTTCATAAAATAAAAATTGAAATAGTTATTTGAAAAAAACACCCAAAAAAAACTTTTTCAGTCATTTTTGATCCTTAAAATTAAAAAAATCGTCAACATTTTTTAAGAGCATGATAATATAACTCCTTACGAAGAAAATAAACCGAAAATCGTTATCCGCTATCCGCTGAGAAGATCTAGCCAATTTTCGAGAGCTCCTTTTTTTTCAAAAAATAGATATATCTCGAAAAATAATTAATATTTTTAAATTTTTCAAAAATGTACTTTTTTGATTTGCCATGGGCTATGCTTGCAGTAAATAGCAAGTATGGGAACGTAAATGTAAATGAGTTATAGAAGAGAAAAGAAAAGATTTTTAACGGTTTTTTCGATATATCTCGAAAAGTAACAAAGCAATCGATACTTACAAAAAATCAATCGATAGATCTTTGTAAAACCTACAACTTTCTCATTTAAAATTTTTCAATCCGTGCTATATATTTTTAGTTATTTTAGAAAAACCGATTTTTGAAACTTTGCGATTTTTTTTAATCATGTTGGCCATTTTGGATCGTGTTTAAAGAACAAGAAACTCAATTTAAAATTTAATTTCCTATACGGTCATATTTTTTTTGACCAGGTAAGCATTTCTCTATTTCTTGGACTATTGTGTATGTTAAAAAATCTGTTTTCAAATTTTATCGGGAAATTTAAATTCCACGAAAAAATTTTCGTATTTGTAAAAAATTTGAAAATTTGAAAATTTGGAAATTTTAGAGGAATTCCCTGAAACTAAAAAAATTCCAAATTCAATTTCAAATTTCATGCAAAATTCCAGTACATCACAACACTATCGAGACACAATCGTGAGATCCTGTCTGCATATGCCTCAAAAAAATTACGAACAAAAGTGACTTCAAAATTAAATTTATTTTACAAATGTAAAAACTGACCTTTATTTTTTTCTTTAAGGAAAGTAAATACCCACGACTATAATTGAATACTTACCTTTATCAATAGGTTCACTTTTTATCATCAAGACTCCTTCTACATTTTCAATTGGCACCCGTTTGTCATTACCCATAGCAAAGTCAAGTCCCAGAACAGGCTGCTCCTGGGGTAAATTCTTAGGCACTGGCAAAGGTTCCTTTTTAACCTCTGCCGGTACACTGTCCCTGCTTAAAGGTTTCGGATGTAACGATCTTAAAGAGTGGTACGTGCTTCCTCTGGGAGCCCTGTCAGGTTCCTTTTTGATCTTGTCCGGCGGTATGATTGAACAATCACTATTACTTTCGTTGTCGTTCATTGTCCTCCCTGTAACACTAACACTGTCTGCTTGCTTAGGACTCGAGGGCTTCGCCTGTTTGGCTCTATCTACGACCGTTAAATCGCTACCCTCCTCTCCCAGGGAACTCGACATGGAGAGTTCCTCGCAGTATTTTTCCTTCTTTATTTCTGGAATGGTTTTAGGCCTGTGCATGGAGAATGCTAAATCCAAGTCTCCTGGAACGAAAGGGGAACTATATTGTCTGGGACTTGGCGGTTTTCTATCCTCTTCCTCGTAATCCGAGTCGTCCAAAGGTTCTTGCTTCACGGAACTCAAGTCTACACTCTTGTCCGTGTCCGTTTCCCACTGTGACACGTCCACCATCTCCCAGGGAGCCAGGGTGGAGTTAGTGCAACTTTCAGTTTCAATGTCAGACGATTGGTTGTGATTGTTGGCGTAGTTATGACCGACAACGTTATGGTCACTGATCGAATTCACGAGAGAACTGTTCTCGTTTTCACAACCTTCGCTCCTCTGTGGCAACTGGGGTTTTGGTTCGCCGGGCATTCCTACGGTGCCGTTCAGCCTTCGAAACCTTAAGAGAAGAAATATATCAGCCATTAAATTAGGAAAGACTGGGAAAACAATATTTCAGGCTAATTTCAGGACACATTGCACAACAGGACGGGCAGTATATTGACTTACCTTACTATTAAACTTTTCGAGTACATTTGTGTCGCGTGAGTCTTTTGGAATGCCTCGATTGAGTCATCCACATTTTTGAAAGATACAAAAGCGTATCTTGTGTATTTCATCTTCTTGGCGTACCCTATATCTATCCTTTTCTGTTTGGGGTAGGTGTTGACCATGTCGTCTTTAGTGACTTCCTGAGCTAGGTTGCCAACGTACAAGGTTAAGGGGTCAATGTCTTCCGGCCCTATGTTGATTTCATCTTCACGGTCTTTCTTGAACTCCGCGGTCAAGTATCCATGGCCAAAGGTGATTTTATTCAGTTCCTTGATAACTACTTCTGGATCTGCAGATTCCTGAATAAATATATGCAATTAGCTCATATCCACATACCGGGTGTCCCATTTTAGTTTTGATACACGTAAATATCTCGTCAGGCAAGCCACCAATTGAAAAATGGCCTAAAGTAAAAGTTGTTCAGTTCACTGGGGGAAACCAGTTGCTTACCTGACCTTGACCTTACCTTGAAGGTCAACTTCGGAATTTTAAATGGGACCCCGTATTTTTAACCTTGGAAATTCAGCAGGAAATTTTTCATCCGGATGTGATCACAACTTTGGTGGCTTCTCTGACGTGTATCAATTAAAATGGGACACCCGGTATAATAAATTATATAGCTAATTAAGTATACTACTTTTAGACCGAGATATTCACACTTTCCAGGTAGATTGAAAAAAATTAAAGTCCGCAAGGACATCTATCACTATATCAGTTTTTTCAAATGTCAAATTCTAATAACAGTAATTAAGAATACTGAAAAAAATACAAATATTTCCTTCATCAAATTATTAAGGACTTTATTAAAAGAGTTCATATTTAGGTACTCTTATTATAATATTGCCTGTAACATTAATAAATTGTACTCTAATTAAAAATTTGGAAGGAGTTCAAGTGAAAAATAAAAATTGAAGAAAAGGAAAACAATTTCGATTTTTTTCAATAATTTCAATACAAAGTAAACAAGAGCTATTAGGAGTTGGCAAATAAATAATAATTTTTAAAAAAATATATCGTTTTTCATTTTAGCCAATTAAACTAAAACCATTTTCTTCAAAATAAAAAATTTACCAGTATAATTATTAACAAAAATAATTATCATATACAGGGTAGGCCATTAATGTGAGAAAGTAAAATAACTCCCTGTTACTCATATTACAGAAAAAAGTTTATATAAAATTTGTACAGAATCAAGAAACCTAAACTACAAAATTAATTTGAAATACACAGGGCGATGAGTAAAAACAGGACACGCCAAAGATTGGAACACCCTGTATATTTTTAAACATACAGATTTCCAAGAAAATTCTATATATGCTAATATAAACAGTTTATCATTTTAGTGTGGGGTTGTCAAGTTATGTAGAAAATTCTTCAAATTTTGGAAAAACATGATCTCGAAGTTGTATTAACTTTCAGCTACTAACACTTGGAACAAAATAATTAGACAGAGTTATAGCCAAATGTTGGACAAAGGCTCCTATATTAGCTAATATCGATATTTTATACAGGGAATTTTTTATAATACGTCCATTTTTAGAAAGTTTAAACTTGATTTTCTAAAAATTTTTCAAACGGAACACCCTGTATTTTATTGTTCTATTTTATTCACACATCGGTCCACTTCAACTTTTATTAAGTTTAAATTTTATTAAAAATAATAAAAATCATTCTTTTTAAAATTTGGCTGTTTTGTAGTCCAACTGAAAAAATTCTTGAATCGTCTCGATTTTGTACCTTTTTCACTGTTGTAGTTAATTCGCCTTTTTAAGCAATATTATTCAGAAATTTCTTTTTTCAAAAATATATACTTTATTATTAGCTCTTGTATTTGTTCTTTTTTGAAATGATGATAATTCTAATAAATTTAAAAATTTTTATCAAAATACTACCAAATAGTTAAACAATGTTCTTCAATACCAAAAATCTAAGTATACAAAAGATATCTAATCTCATCATGACAAGACAAGATTCTTAACTGGGTATTAGGTGGACCAAAATATATTTTTTTCGTGTCTTTTGTGAAAATATGTTAGTTTATCATCTTTTAAGTCCCCTCAAAAAATCAGCTCAAAAAAAATTTTTTTAGAGGTCGCTCAAGATTTTTAAAAATTTCCAAAATCGTCAAAAATTGATTTTTTAAAAAAATTTTTTCTCATTATTTTATCATTTTCTAGGTTGAAAAAAATCTTGATTTTGAAAATTTCAAATCGATATTTTAATTTCTAAAGGTCACTCATAATTATTTTAACTTTCAAAGTAGTGTACTTAAAATGTTTTCGAGAGACCTCTAAAATAATTTTTTTTATTGAATTTGATGAACAAATTAATAGAAATAAATCATGACTCAAAAATTTCTCGGGGCAAAATTCTTTTGTTCATCAAATTCAATAAAAAAAATTATTAGTTCGCTGATTTTTATTTTTAGGTCACTCGAAAGCATTTTAGGTTTTCTTTGAAAACTTTTCTTTTCTTTTTTATTTTCTTCATTTACTTTGAAAGTTAAAATAATTATGAGTGACCCTTAGAAATTAAAATATCGATTTGAAATTTTCAGAATTGAGATTTTTTTCAACCTAGAAAATGGTAAAATATCGAGAAAAAAATAATAAAAAAAAATCAATTTTTAACGATTTTGGAAATTTTTAAAAATCTTGTGATTTTTAAAAAAATTTTTTGAGTTGATTTTTTGAGGGGGCTCTTAAAACATGATAAACTAATATATTTTCACATGAGACGAAAAAAATATTCGTTTTTTTTTGGGTATATTGGTGGTATATTTCAATGCTAAGTGAGGCATATAGCCCATAGAATAGTTGTTTCCTGCAATATCATTGGTTAAAAATCTTGTCTATCAGGTCATTATCTTTTGCACACCCAGATTTTTTATATTAAATAATGTTCGACTTCATTTGACAGAATTTTTGGGAGAATTTTTGAATTTATTTGAATTAGTTTAATATATTTAAAATAATGTAAACATTTTTGAGTAAGTAAATTTTTACATATGCCATATTGGAATATATTTAAAAATATATAAATGTTACTGTAATGCCAAACAAATTGCAATGCACTTAAAGGAAGGTTCAAGAATTTTTTTAATTAGACTGCAAATAACGCTCTGAAAATTTGAGAAATTGCCTGACATATTATTGATATTTCCAGATCTATGAAATTCCCAGACTGGTTATACACTCTAATGTTGTAAAATTGCTGGAGTTGATTTTTGGAGAATTTTTATAAAACACAAATGAAAACAAAATTAATCAATGGAAGAGTAAGTATATACGAGAAAGACCTATACTCCGCGGTCGAAATTATAAAGAGTGACTAAGACATAATATAAAAACACTATTACCATAATGCGTATAAAATATAAAATGATTTTTATATGGTTCAATATTATTTATCTTTGTGCCGCTCGCTACGCACATCGATAGAATCTATAATCGTCTAGAGACCGAGTTACACTGAACGTCGATCTATATTCTATCTCTGTCTTTTGCACTTGGTAGGGAATAGGGAAATGCTTATTTAGTGGGTGTAAACGGATTTGATTTAACCTGTCCTGAGAAACGTCATAGCATAAGTGTAGACGAGGGGTCTAATTCCATGGCTATAATAAATTTATAAATTAAAAAAACACCATTGGGACGTTTTAAAATGCTGTAATAATTAAAATGGATCAAAGTGCCTGTTATAGCAAACCGTAAAAAATATTAGATGTTATGTTTTATTATCTTTTTTCATTATTTTCTATATCTTGTTGCCTTTTACGCAGACACGCCAATGGATTTTCGTTCCCGGCACGCTTCATCCCTCTTACTAGTCCAAAAGTTAGCGATGAATCACTCTCTATAATTTCAACCGTGGAGTATAAGAATTTATATTCTACATGATGTAATGTTAATTTTGTTCAAATTACATTACATCATGCTACTCTTGAACATTCAGTAAACAATTTTAATATGTTAAATATTCTCAATATTTCTAGAAAAATCTACTTAGCGCTCTATATTTTTCGCTTCTTCGGGTAGTCATTTTTATTAGCAAGAAAATAACAGATGCAAGCTCAGAATGATGGAAGAAGAAGGACTGTCATATGCTGCTGAAATCGCTGATTGATTGGTAAGCATTCTATAATTTCTAGTTTTCGGAAAAAAATTTTTTCAAACTCGTTTTTCACGAAACGACATTTTTTTTTAATTTTTTTATTCAAAATTAGTGAAAAAAAAAAATGGTGAAAATCGATACATTTTTTTCAAATACGTGTCAAAACTTTAATTTTCACAATTTTTACCCACAATGAGGTTCATATTTTTAGAAAACATGTAAATAATGCAGCAAAATAACCATTTTGCTTTCAGATCTAAATTGCGACTTCCACATTTTCCGTGAACAACAAACTTAGACGACGACGACTTTTGGTGGACAACAGCCTATAACTTCGGCATTTTCAACACAAAAAATTTGTAAATGTAGTTCAAAATATTAATAAAATAATGTCTAAGTTTGATCAAATTCTAATCAACTGATCCCACTCAAAATAAATTAATTAAAAATGCCTCAAATTCAGCCTTCTAATGTGGTTTCTCCCCTTAAGGCAAATTTAATATAGCATAAGTGCTACGATTATTACTCGTTACTGCCGCTGCCGTCAAAGAACAGTGATAAAGGAAGAAAACAGTTACACCAACCACAATGTCACTTGCGTAATGCAAAAGTTGATAAAATTTGGAAAAACTTTCTCTTTGTGTTTCTAAAGAGAAAGTTCACAAGCAATGGTTTTTTCATGCAGACCTTTGCAAATGTTCAAATATTTTGCCTTTGCCACATTATAACTAGTAAATACAGCTCTATCTACCTTTAAAGTCACAAAACAAAATCTGGGTGTAGACGGCTGCTGAAAATGGACATTGTCGATCGACGAATGGAACTTAGACACGATATCCCTATTCAGCTCCAAATCGGGAAATTTTATAATCAGCGATTGGCTTCTATGTCTTTTATTATATTCTTTCTCGACCATCAGGGCTCTTTTAGCATCCATGACTGACCAGTCCTTCCTCTGTGGGATATTTTGCGATAGAGGTTTCTTCTTCTTCTTGTTTGATTTCTTCAAATTATCCGATTCGGAGTCAAGTTTACGTTTGTTGTAAAAGTTTCTGGCATAATTCGGGGAACCGGTTATGTTATATAATCCAGAAGTGTTGGAGTACTGCCCTGGTGTAGACCCGTACTGACCCTGTGGAGAGCTGTATTGGCCCGAGGAGTACTGCCCTGGTGGGGAAGAGTATTGTCCAGAAGATAAAGCATATTGTCCTGGTGAGCTATTGTATGCTCCAGAAGAGGTATTGTTATATCTGTAACATGGATATTGTAAATTTTTTGACGTCATTAAAAATATGTGAGAAGATATATTACATTTATTTTACCTTTGCAATTTACACGTTTTTTAACTTAAAGTTTTTTTGATAAATTCATATAAAATCCGATACAGCTACTTTCACAATGATATTATTAACGTGCTACTGGTAAAATACAAAGCAGTATAATCTATACGAATGTGTTGTAAATTGTTCAGATTAGCACAAGCCGTTTGAATACATACGTCAGAGTTAGATAACTTCAAAATTATGCTGATGATGAAATCATCAATTGATAGTTCTTGTAATAGCAAATTATTCAGTAGTAACCAGGCAGCATATCCTATAAAGTGGTTACGAATATATTGCAGGTAATAAATAAAGTACTTTTTTTTCAAAATTTTCAATTGATTTATTATTTTGTCAATAATTTAGAAATATTAAACTACATATTAAGAAGAAAAGTTCAAATAATTAACTGTATATTAATAATGTTAACTGTTAACTTTAACTTTTATTTGTTGCATTTTTTTTAATTTGGAACTTTTGATTGTGTGTATTAATTTGTATACTTATGTAGTATTGTATATTGTTATTGTAATTTTTATAAAAGATTTTGTTTAAGCCTGGTTTTAAATGATACATTTTTTTGCAAAATTTGTGTACATATTTAATGCAAGAAATATTTTCTTGATACTTTAACTCATAATCAGGCGTAAGTTTTACTATGAGTATTAACATAAAAATATCAGAAAAATATCTCACAATAAAAGTGTACACAAATTTTGTATAAAAAATATTGTTATGTAAAGCAGCCCTCAGTCACAAATTTACAGAGGTACCTCTTTTGATATATTCTAATCATATGAAATAATCGGGTAAAATATGTGGCATTGAAATTTTATTGCTTTCTTCTATGCCGTTTCGATGCTACTGTTCTAATAGATAACTGCAAACCCATTATGATCCCATATAAGCAAGAAATTGTAGTCTTCTATAGTTGATGTCATGTTAAACATACAAACATTTTTATAAAATTTATGTACTGAAGCCACGAAATTGCATTTTTATGGACGAATCTGGTTTTGTCAAACTGCTGAGGTCTTAAACATGTTTAACTATATTACTTCTGCAACTACTTCACAGATGTAAAGTATTTGAGTCCGTGAATTATTTGCCAACATAAAATAATGTAACATCTAAAAAATAACACCTTTTGCCTGGAAATGTGTTCATAAAACTTCGTTTTATGGAAAATATCGAATAGAAAATATAAGGTGGTGTATTCAACGACACAACAAAAGTAAACACTTTTATAGTCAAATTATGTATGTTTTACAAAGATTAATTATTTTATGAAAGTTTAACAAAAACATTAATAAAACTTTGATAAGAGTAATCATATAAAATAAGAGTAATCATATAAAATAATTGTTTCAAATATTCACCATTTAATTTGTAGGATAACTGAAAAACTGAATTGTGAGCAGTTTATATGAATATGACAAATAGATTACTACCACTTTACTGCAGTTGAAATATATTTATAAGTTACAGCCTAATAAACAAATTTTTTAATATACACTATCATTTCCAGTAAATTTTTCATATATTTCCCATTTTAGTTGTAAATTTAAATTCTATGGCGTTAATTGCACATGGTCAATAATTGGGAAGTTTATTTTATACCCAATTTCAATCATTTAGTTCTATAATATATAAATAATATACAAATAACAATAAACATTACAAGCAGTAGGTCATTTTTTATTTCTAATTTGATAAAAATGTGAAAATATAATGCTATACTTATATGTAGATAATAGTTGTATGTAGATCAAAAATTATTTCTATATTAGGTACCTTATTGCAAGTGCTCAATAATATATAAAAATGATTTCATTGCATACTTACGTAGAGAAAGGAAATATTTCAACAGCAATATCAAAATAATTTTCGGTCTGGGAATGGCTTTATTTACTGGTAGTTATAGATTAATATTTGAACAGGAGAAGACATCTATACGTTTAAACAAAAACATTTCAATTACCAAATTTTTGCAAGACAAATTAATTTACCTTCTGGTCCGATAACTCCCTTGTGTATTAGAACTGTTGTAATATGTTTGAGATCTCTGTTCTATGTTTGGCGTGCTTACAGCTGGATGTGATGAGGGCGTACGAGGATTTGAAGGTGGTGGTGGAGGCGGTGGCGGTCCCGGAGGTAATGGAGGTGCAGCAGAGTTTCTGTTATCCTGTGCACCCCTAGCATTTTGACTGGGATGAGCTGACCAGTTATAATTCCAAGAATTATTCTAAAATAACATTGTAATTCTAAACATAAGTACATCCATTTCAGGACACTGGAAGTACCTACCAAATTATAATTCGGTGGGGGCTGAGTGAAGTAAAACGGAGTTACATAATTGTTACTACTCATTGTCATTAACACAATGTGCCTTGTTGATTACATTATTACTCTTTGTTGACAACATCTGCCATTTTTTGACTGACGTTACACGACCTTGAACCATTAATAATTATTCACCCTAAATTATCGACTGAGAAACAGATTTAGTACGTACAGTTGGCAGCCCTGTAGCAGAATTGAAAATTTGAATAGTCTCCCTGATTTGAATCATCATTTTGCTGAATTGGTTAGATGGTTAGTTATTTGAATAGCAAGAAACTACATGTATATATTGATATTTTCATTTCGTTGAGTTGCGTTTTCGTAAATGGTCATGCATATATGTACAAACAGTTGATACTTTAAAAGCGTTACAGTTAGTAATGTTTCCAAAAATACTAAATCGAATTTGATATAGGTTTAACTTTTGACTGTATTTGTACATAGTTGTTAATGGAATGTTCATTATAAACGCAAAAAAAGAAACGCAAAAAAAGAAAAGTGGTGTGTTCCAAAGACTACATAATGTACAGGTAACCTTATGTATTTTTACTAAAATCTGGGGGGAAGGTTTAGCAATTTTGAGCATCAAAATGCATATAAATATATTTCCTGCAGTAATTTTCAGTTGGTTTCTACAATTATATCTAATGATGATTCCTTCCAAAGTGAGATTTTCCGTATTTTCTGTATTTATGGACGGTTTATTGTTCACGATTTATAAGAAATGGAGGAACAGATTAGGTACTTTTCTTTTTTGTACGCCTGTGTTATTGTATCCAATTCTGTTTGTGTTTTAATTGAATTTTTTAATTAAAGTACAATAAGAATAGTGATGAGGGGTATTCTTCATTTGCAGATTTAGTTCTGTATACACTGGTAATTTATAGTTCTGTTTTTCATATACAGATTTACTGTACATTGGATTATACTCAATGTAGTTAGATACTTGACATATTAATTAAACATTGTCAAAGTGGACAAAATTCTGACTGTTTTAAATAATAATTATAATGTACTATATGCCTTGCTTGGAGGCATATAGTACATTATAACCGAATAGATAAATGATCAGATTTCCCTTTTCATTTTTTTGTCAATATTTTTTTTTTAATAAAAAATATTAGATGGAGTGGAAATGGCAAGCAAATGTTTTGGAAATTAGGTACGTATTTGATCTATAGAAATATTTAATACCACCAATTTTTTTTATTAGCCCAATAAGTACTAAAAATGTGCTGTATATAGCCCAGCTAATGTCCTGAGGACATCAACAGTAAAGCCTACGTTGTCCTCATTTGATCCACTGATAACCTGATAATAGCCCGGCTGATGTCTTGAGGACATACATAGTAAATCCTAGGACGTCCTCATTTGATCATTGATAACCTGATAATCTCCTGCAGATAGCCAGGCGGATGTCCTCAGGACGTTACGAGCAAATCCCGGGACGTTCCATTTGGATATCCCTGGTACATCCTGAGGTGATCGTGTACCTATTCGAGGATATCCTATACATCCTGAGAAGTTATCCTCAGTACATCCTACGAATGTCATTGTGCTGTGTGGGTTGTGAAAAACAACGCGACTGCTCAGAAAAATTTGAAAATTTGACGACATGGCAGTGTCCCTGGGCCGAACACAACTAAAATATCTAGAACTCTCCAGCACTTCCGGTTATACCGGAAGTCGACACCAACTTCGTTATTTCAAATGAGGCACCATATATATTATTGCATTTTCGGATTATATGTGAAATTTGAGGGTCACTTTATTAAATATTCCCTATACCTAGGAGTTATAGAATTTGAGATATTAATATTTAAAGAAAAAAATTGACAGATGCAAGGGTCCACGGAGATGCCAGTAATTCTTTTCAGGACCGTGATATCAAGTGGATTTTTTCTACCTGTAATGGGCATAGGTAACACTAAATTATGGTATACCAACAAATTATAATATTTAATTATAGGTGTTTCATCTTTGTTGTTACATTTTGATAAATTCAAACAGCTATAACTTTGTTAACTTAAATGGAACACCCTGTATTTTTTTACTCTGTCGTACGCAGATTGAAATTTCGTTTCAAGCCATACAAGCATTGTTAGGGTTGCCGTTACTACTTTTAGAGATGTTTGCAATCTTGTACTTTTTGGAAGTTTTTCTCGTATCAGCCCAGTTGTCAAATTGGCCATGACCGGAAACACTCCAAAAACAATTGAAATAACTTAACATTTGTCAAGTTAGTTGTCAAATTATTGTTGTGTCTGAATAGTTTTTGCCGAAAATTTAAATAAGATTGCCTGGGGATCGTTTAAATTATACTAATGAGGATTATTTTAATTTGTTTGTTATTTATGGAAAAGTAAATTCAAGAACATGTGGAGAATTTGCTGCAGTTTTCCATGTTGCCAAATTTTCACATTTTTTGGAGCAGTAAGATATCGATCGACGCAGTCCCCGGTGGGACACCCTGTATAGAGTCTTTAGAAGCGTCGTTTTAATTTAAATAGGGGTGTAAAATGTTTAATAATAATGCTAACACGACTATATTTGTAAAAATTTTATTAAATCCAATTCATAGACATAAATTACGCGAGAGGACAACAAAAATAAATACAAAATACGTACAGGACCTTACAATATGAATAGTAACCCTAAAACTATGATATGTTGGGAAATTTCATTTATATGTACAAATTTCTCTAACGAGTTAATATAAACAGTAAGAAATTGGTCCAACCGTACTTCTTTCTCAATTTCTTAAGATATAATTTAAAACAGACACACATCTTACAGAGAAACATTTCCTAGATTGTACGCTGTCCATTGTAGTACACAATTTTTTATTGCTAAACAAGCATGGATTTCGTTTTGCACAATTTATTTACAATTTTAATATAAACAATATTAATTCCGTATTCTGTTTATGCAGAGCAGTTTTGTCTCTTTATAATTAGTGTAACTACCCTATTCTTAGGCTAAGATATAACTTACAGGGTTCAGTCAAGGTAATTTTGGAATTGATAGTTCATTTGAAATGCCGATGCAGAATTTGCATTTATTTTATCAGATTGGCATTCAGAAACTTTGGTAGCATAACAAATGAACTGACCTATCATATGAACACATAGGGTTCCTAAATTAAACAATTAGTTCATAATATAGTGGTATAAATATAAAATTTCAAGTGTTTTGTCACTGTAAAAAAAGTATTATTTTCAAGCGTTTGTCTAAGTTTCTGTTATAGAAAAACCAGAGACAATAGCTGTTTTACATTGACAATTTATTGATGAATAAATTGACGAAGTTTTTCATGAATTAATTCACGAATTTTTATTGGTAAACAGTGTGGTTTTTACACTGCTACAGACTTTATCAAGTTTTTTGATGCATGAATCAGTTCTACCAACGAATCAAAGAAGCAAATAAATTTCAAAAATGTCACCTTTCCAGTCATAACTGTAGTGATACAACAGCGGTACCGTTTTGACACATATTATATAAATATTAGTGTTTGTAAGTAACAAATCAGTAAAAACAATGCAAAACTAGTACGACGCCACACAATTATTTACATATTCCAATAACATAACCTCATTACTGATCTGAGGGTGGAAATCTGTTGGGTTGGTACTTCCGAACTTCACGTAGAAATTGACGAAAATTAGAGCATGCTCTAATTCGTCAAGAACTTGATGAATAAATTCATGAAGTTATTTGACAGCAGATTTGGTGCATTACACTTATCCAATTTCTTGATGAAGCGACTTCATGAATTAATTGATCAATAAATTGTCAATGTAAAACAGCTATAAGACACAAAACGCAGAGTAAAGTAGTTTCAAAATCTCATGAGCCGCGAAATGCGCGAAAGGCGTGGCGTATCCCCATAATTCTTCTAATAAGCACGTTGTGAAAACATTGACTCAGAATTAGACCACTTGCCTCATTACAACCAGAAATGAACTAAGGCGCTCGAGCATCAATAAAGGCAACTGGCGAACGTTCGTTATATATATTTTTATTGCTTAAATTAAAATAATAAATAATAGGGCATTTTATTATGATTGGAATCGGATCAAAGGCTTGTTTACGCTACGAGCGCTCTAGATATACTGTGAATAATATATGTAATATTTTTAGGACGTAGATTAATTTAGGCGACGGTCGGAATTATGTTTCTGCGCATATGAAGGTCAAAGCTCATAAGATTTTGAAACAACTCTACCACAGCGGGCAGCGATCACGGGTCTTCACGGTGGTCAGGTGATCCTGTAGAAATCCCATTTCTGCATGTCAAAGTCTTAACTTTAATTGTAAGACAAGATTTTCTCTAGTAATGAATTGTTTGAAAACATTATTTAGGTATCTGATTTTATATAGGGTGAAGTATTTTTTTTCAGCATAAGATATGGCTCTTAAGAATTCTGGAGGTGCTCATTAAAGAACTAGCGTAATATCCGTCGTTACAAGTATAAACGCAATAGAAATGTACAGAGAAAATTGTACACATCTTATCTTTTATATTTCTAAATTTTCTTGTGATTTCAAAACAATATTTATTTAGTAAAACAATTGAAGGTTGCATTTTTTAACAGAACACATTGTATATTTTTAAATATTTAAACGCTTCCTTAGGGAGACATGTCTAAAATAATCTTACATGAGCTCAAATGTTAAAGCTGTTTTACACACAACAATTTATTAAACAATAAATTGATAACAATATTAATTAATTTCACAATTTATTTACTATTTCAACATTTACAACAATTTATTGGCTAATTTCATTGATGCCCCGAACTTCATAGTTCGTCAACTTACTAAATCATGATTAATTCATTCTTAAAAATAATCTAAATCGTTCAGGATCCTCATTTAAAAATTCGGTATGCAACAAGTGCAAATTTCCTTTCATCTTTCTTTGTCCAATCCATGATCGAACCCACCATCTTCTACTTCTTGCTTTTTGCTTATTTTTTTTTACATTTGCAAATCTCAAATCATCATAATTGGGTTGGCATTTAAAAAAATACAAAATGTAACTAGATATCCCTAAAATTGGCCAATAAATTTGAACATGTTCTAAATCTCCAATTTCTT